AAGTCAACCAAAATTCTCGTCAACTTCACGATCGTGTGAAATGTACTTCGTATACTTGATAAAATGAAGAGATGGCAATTTCATCTACGACTAAATCAAAGAAATTTCAATAAATTCGCGGTAATAACAATTCACATCATTAAAAACCAGTGATATGTTAACGTCAATGTATGGACAAAGAAATCGACAGGACTCCTTTCCGAGAAAATTCACCGATTCTGGTTGTAAGGTGATAGTCACAAGAAAAAGAGAATGAGGAATACAGTGTACATCCTTTGATACACGCATGAGATTGATCTGGTTTATAAAAATAAAGTTGTGAACTGAGAAAGTCTTGCAATGCAAACTGTTAAAGCAAACATTTGTTTCTTTTCATATGTACAATAATTTTTCAGTAGCCGTATAATTTAAGCGATCAGAACTAACTTCGGACTGGACAATTAACTTAATAACTGAAGTTCTTTTTGTTTAATTATACAGAGCAGATGCAAGCGTGTTGCTTTTCTTGAAGGAAAAATAATAAAAAAATTCACTAAACCTTCTGCAAACTTCTGCTCACGCATCATAAACTATCAGAATTTGTCCTCATTTCAAAAGGATGAAACGTCATCCAGACAATTTTAGTCCACTCAGTGAAGTGTAGCATTCTTAAGAAGTTACAATTTTTGATTCTAGCAAAAGAACGCCATCTTGATTTTCCTGTCCGCCATTTACTTTAAAGCTCCAGTGTTTGAAACAATTCATTAGTTCATAAGACGTTTTTAACCCATTCGAAAAGGCATTGATTATTCTAAGGAACAATCTTCTTTTCACGGTCAATTCTCAATTGGGTATTGTACTCAAAGGAGTTCAATTTAAGCTTAATGGGATAGCTGTGCAGGTGTAAATATTTAATGACTGCGACCTGACCGCTGTAGTGAGTCTCTAATTATTCTCGCTGTTAGACAAATATTTAGTATCGAACTCAGGCTTAGAACTCGCCGTGCTATAAACTAAACAACACTGTACATACAATTGCGTGAACCGTTGTACGTTCCCCAGGTGGTGGTGTGGTTCTTTTGATCTGTGCCGTCTGGTCAAACGCATTTCAGTAGAGTTGGATTTTGTCCTCTTAGCGCAGATTTCAAGTTAAGCCCGATCACCTTCTCAAGCGTAACTAACTAATTGATGACTTCTGGGTCAGTGCATGGCGCACTTGATCGCGGCCACTTCGCACAATTTACTCAGTTATACTTCAGTTCAAGGGAATTGTTTAAAAATTAAGGATCACTTAAACCCATTAGAAATCTTCTGTAAGGCGTTAGGGGCGGTACATATGCAACCAGCCGTGCACGTATATCCCGCAAGTTTCCGATAAAGTTGAACATTTGATTCATTGTAAAATCCCCAGCAAGCTCTTAAGTGGAGCATAAGGCCTAAAAGCTTCGTTTCTTTTAAGCGATACTGCCTACGTTTCTCGCGTAAATTGATGAGACGGAATCAGCCCATGCGGTGACTGTTTACATTCGGCTTTTTTATAAACAAAGTTAGTTCTTTACGAGATAAACAGAGCTCGGTTTTCTCTTGAATCTAACAGACTTTATACAAAACAACCATTTAAAAAGCGGTAGTTCACTCTTGGGTTTTCTCATAAGGGCGATAGTTTCTTTTTTCCTATGTTAAAATCAGTTAGCTGTACTAAGGTTTTTGGGTAAAATCGCAAACCTCACAATCCAAAAGCTTTAATTTCTCCCGTTAGCAACGAATGAAACCGCAGATTTCGTTAAAATAAATGTTTGCACCTTACGAATTAATTGTCTTAAACTGACTTATTGAATCACTGTCTTTCACGGGTGCAACTGAAAAATTTCGTCGACGTGTTTTATTCTTGTACCATACATGCAATACAGACATTCGTAAAAGTGGTAACTGTTCGCTAGATTGGAACATGGTTAAAGCGAAGCACAAAGCCAGCTTTACAGCTGATAAATGGCTCAACTAAGATTGGTTTTATTGAATAGCTGGGGCTTTTAGTATAATTACAACGATGCAGCGCTTAAGTGAAAGAACCCCGCCGTGGAAAGCGCAGAGAGAATCTTTTTATCGAACCTAAATGCGTTACTATTCTTAAATACTCATTTCAATTTTTTATCATTGAAATGGAAATCTTGCAAAATAGGAAGAAGGCCTAGAATCTCTTTTAAGTCTGTAGTTTTCTTTTATTTTCATTACCAGCCTTAAAAAATATTCGTATTTGGACTGAATTTTTTAGTTGTGTGATGCAGCAAAATGTGAATTGAAGAATGATTTCGCAAATTTCTGCAACTGTGGAGTTCAAAGGTAATGACATTTTACTGTAGGTTCAATTTTATTTTTCGCGTCTACATCATGATTGAGATCAAATTAAAGATATATGGAGCATTTATCTTTTATGATTACGTCTTCAATATCCTCAAAGCAAGCTGCTCAAACAAACAACTAACTCTTTCCATCAATGAATAATGTCCTAAAACAGGCAACAAAGGGCTTTATCGAAGCAACTTGCGAGATGTGATCAGAATTACGATGTTCAATAGTATACTCAGGCAAATTGCGTTGCGAAGCTAAGGAAGTTATTCAAGCAAAATCTTTACCGAGAGTTCAAAGGAACCAAGTTGAAATTAAATTATATCTATATGGTTAGATAAAGTTTAAAGGTTAATAGTTATGGTTTTTTATTTCATTAGTGATTTCACATTTTCATCGCTTTTATTGAATCATTCAGATTTAGAAGAAAAAAAAAAGCGTTAATTCATGGATCAGAGTGGAATCTAGCATTGCAGTAGAAATAAAGAAAGTGAACTTCTTACACAAGACGAGTGTCAAATACTGAGAAAAAAAAACTAATATGGATTAAATTTCAAGAAGGTTTTAAAGTATTTGCACGTTTGAGAGGAAAATTAGGATTTTATTTTACATTGACGCCCGCAATAAAGATGATTGGCTCGTATCTTTTACCATAAACCAACACGAAATAGTTATGTTCCTTTTCCGCTTTATTTGAATATCTCTCAAACTGCTGGCGATATTTATTAACATCGTTATATCTTTAATCTTAGGACTGAAAACTGAAAGTCTGTCTGTTTTCATTTCAGCTTCGCACAGAAACCAAATCTTCCGTAAAAAAAGTGTTCGGAAAATATTTGCTCCAACTTGCTTCTTATGGTGTTGAAAGCAAAACTGTGTTTTCTTTTAAAATTTAGCGTTTACGTATTTTAACGCAAACAATTTACTCCTCACAAATAATTAAATCTATTAACGCGTACGATTAACCTTTCGGTTTTGTTGACAAATTTAGATGCCATATCTGTGAAAGCTTTTTGTCCTTAGGAAAAGGAAAACATCCATTCTCTTTAAGCAGACAGCCAAGCAGATACGGCTAGCCATTTTGAGAACATTATCCTCACAGCCAGTTATGTTTGGTTTTTGTTCCACACAAGAAGTTTTAAGTTGCTCGTTTAGTCAGTTAATGATTATTAGTAATTCATGGAAGCATAATGCTGACAAAAATTTTCCTGAAATTATAAAACGAGTCAAAATTTCCGTTCGGACAATTTTGTATCAATGCGCAATCAAGGGGGTTTCCGACATGACTAAATTGGTAAATTTTACCGCCCTGCGGGCCGTCACAAATAATCTACCACGGGAATCTTTTTGTAAACTTTTATTCAAAAGGGTGTATTGTTATTTTAAGTTTTCTGTCAAGGAAGACGTCTCAGGAAAATTTGTTATTTCAGTTTAGATAAAAAAGTCCTTTCTCCTAATTAAATGGTGCAGCAATGGATGTAACTTTTTTTTCAATTAACTGAGTGAGTGTTATCCATTACTTAAATGAAATATCTAAATACACTCTGTTTCACTTAAGTTTTTATAAATTATATGTTATTGCGTGTTATAGAGCTAAAGCACATTTCAATTGCTTGTTAGGTAAACATGTCACCCTAAAAATGGAATATTTGTCCAGAATCAATGTGATTTCCTCTTGGAAATAATTTCCTGTGAATTTCTCCTTAAACTTGTCTAAGACGGCAAACAAAGGCGTTTTCTAAGTAAGCTCGTATGAAACAAGGTTTCCGAAAGCCTGCCAATCGAAGCAAGCATCTTCGTAAGTTAAATCACAAGTTTGATGAATTATCAAAATCGTTCACTATTAATTTTTTTTAACCGGTTGGATTGGCCAAGACTGGCGAATTTTTAAAACGGAACGATACAGCGTGTTTATTTTTCGAAAATTCACTTCCAGTTAGTAAACGCTGACGCTATTTGTTGAAAAGCTCTCAGTTCTCTCTTCCAAATGGTTCTAGTTAATTGTTATGAAGTGTATAAATACAATTAAACAAGGCGTAAATTACGCTAATAACTCACAAATGCCTTTCACTGCTTCAATAAAGTATTTCGCACCTGTGCCATCTGCCCGGGGAAAACCAATCAAAAACCGAAATCGATCCCAGCTGGGTGTTTCTACCAATCACAGACCAGGTTCGTGCGTCAAATATAGAGTGAAACGTTACTCAAACAATCGGAAAGTATCCTTGTTTTTAATTCTACTTCTTTCAAGAAAAGTGCAATTTGCATCAAGAGATACGAAAACAATTACCCTTCTTAACATAACTTCCTTTCGCCCTTAAAAAAGGGTACAAATTTCGTAAATTTAATAATGAAAACCGCAAAAATTGTTATGAACTCGACTTCTATCTTATGGCCCGTGCGTGCGATATCTCTGCGATATCTAATACGATTTTAACATATATGACTAGTTAGTTTCAATATATCACGAGCTTGACGACTGGAATTGAACAATAATAATCCTCGATTTCCAATGGGTCGAATTTGGAATACTAATAACCTTTGTTAACAAATGAACTCTCCGGAATAATAAACGATATTTATTATCTCCAGGTCCCATAAATAATAGCGCGAAAATGATCACATCATATCGATAAAAGCTCTCTTTCAATTTCCTGTCCATATAAACCGGGCTGGTCGTATATTCACCAAAGAGAAAACAGATCCTTTGAAGAGCGCAGCGCCAGATAAAGCATCAAGCCCAGAATGCAGAACTCGTCCGCGTTCAGTGTTGACTCGCTGATGGGAAAGAAGACCCTGGACTCTAAAACGAACGATATGGAGAAAGAAAGCGAGAGAAAGTCGGCATTTTCTGTCGCCCCTCCGTTACCAAAGCGAGAATTTCATCTTCCCAGTGTCTGTAACTGCCAGCCTTGTCAACAAACGGCTGTGTCAGGGTTTACTGCAATGAGCCAAGCTGTAGCCGAACCGAGGTTTATGTCCTTACAATCGATGGCTGGAACTGTATCAGTACCTGCTCCCGTGTATCTCCCGAAAGGTGAGTGAATTCTCATTCATAACAGACCCCTTAAGTTAGACTTTTTATGAACTTGATGGAGAGATTTTTTTATTAATGCTGAAAAGTACGTTATCTAGGCAGCTACTGTCGATTTAGAATGTAGGATGAAATGTTCTTGTTGTTGAGTGAAATCTGTCATTTGGCTTTAGGGCTCTATGGCCGGAAAGATGTCAAATCATTCAGGAATTAGTTAATTTTCAATGACCCTTTCGTTGTAAAAAGTAGTTGCCAACAAAGAAAAAATAATAAATGTCTTTCATTTTTACTTTTAATAAGGTATGCTTGCCATCTGAGAAACAAAAAGGTTACCCAAGATTTGAAATATGTGATGGTTAAAATGATATCAATTGCTGCTCATTTTTCTGTATATTACAGGGTAATTTGTAAATAAAACTGTATTCTTTTTATGTGGTTCATTTAAAGTATGAGTGTTGAGTAACGCTTTATTACTGTCCGTCTAAACTACATAGTAACTTGATTGATTTCCTCGATTTTTTTCGAAAACATTTCGTTCTTAAGCTAAAAAGAAAAACTCAAACGAGCTGTATAATTGGGTTGAAGACGGGAGAGAAATATTTGGAAGGTTTTTATTTACCACATGCTCAAGATGCCATAAAACTGATATCATTTTTGGAAAGACTACACTTTTTTTGTGCCTCGTTATTTCTCTTTTTTCCTTGTAATTAAATTTTTGGAATTTTTCTCTTGAGATTTCGATATGAAATCGAGGTTTTCATTCTGGAAGACGTATGCTGAAAAATATGATCGTAAAAACGAAGATTGAATGTGCTTGTTTACCGAAAGCTAACCATTCAGAAAAAAAAAAAGTGAGCTAAGATAGAATAATAAAAGAATTGAATAGATATTTTCTGCTGCTCAGTATGCTTTATGTCGCCTTCAGCTTTCGGATACGGAAAAACATTTAAGTATCGACCATTCAGTGCTCTCGAACGTATGAAATTTTATGTCCTGTAGGGTGTGGTCAACGATCTTGTTTAGGTATCTATGTTTCCTGTTCGGTGCTTTGGTGTGGCTTGCTCTTTTATTCAGGTCTGTTGATGCTTCTTATAATTCAAGAGATTTAAAACAACTCTTTTATCTTTTTCGAATTTCGTGCCGCATGTGAAATATCATGTTTTTTACCACCGAGTATATTGTAAAGTACTTTTGATACAAAGAGAATTGTTTTTGGTAAACCCGGAAATCGATTTAATCGGTTTCGAGGCATTCTACAATAATTAACGCTGAGGTTGAGTTTGTATTTTTTATCTTCAGTTTTTATCTTCAACTGAAAAAAAAAAAAAAAACCCTGTGGTCATTGCTGCCCTTTTGTTAGACTGTCCAAAAGAAAGACAAATGAGATTTTGTGAGAATTGTAGCAAACGGTTTTGATCGACTTAGCAGATACTTTACTGCGAAAATATCCTACACATTTTACAAAACGACTTCTCGTCTTAAATGGTCTTAACCTTAGACAGATGCAGCACGCACTTCTCCGAGGGCTCGGAGGATATCTTCTCCAGTAATCAATGAGTTGAAAAAAAATTAATGGTCCTACACCACTAAAAAAGGTATGATTAACAAAGTCAACCTAACTAGGCCGAAAACATTTTAATTCCTCCCTTCGTATAGAGTTATCCATGAGAACAATTTTAAGAAAGGCAGATGACAAATTTCGGCAGGCACTCGTGTTTTGTTTTCAACCCAAGGTCAGGAGAAAATAGTTTTGTTTGTTAAATAAATTTCTTTTGATCGTGTTCGGTCGCGTATTTCCTAAAAAGCTATTTATGGGCAGTGTGACACGCTTTTAAACAAAGGAGTTTACACAAAAGTTCTCACCGATATAATTAAGTGGCTAGCTTTTGTGGTTTGTTCGAGCTTAATATCTAGAGAAAGAAAGGTTGAAAATTGTTAATTGACTGCTCATTAGCGAGTAATAAAACATGTTGTATCGTGCACGGCTCGTTAACAAAACGCAGCATTGCCTTTTACTCCTCGACTTGCGGACATATTTTTGTGTGCGCTATTTCAAATTGTAGACTGCGATCAGCTTATTTTTTATTTTGGTCCAAAACACTTCTCTTTTTATAGTACCTTGTATAAGCCCTCCGGAAATAAACGTTATTCACATTTGAACACGTTTCTTAATTCCCACATCACAGTGAGCCTTCGAGAAAAGGAGCACTTAATCCTACACTGCCTACTTTTTTCGTTGAACTCGATCCGCGCTTCATTAGTCATTTTATAAAGTGCTTACTAAAGCTAGTGACTTCAGCTGCTGGTACATCCTTGAATTAAAGAAGATGGAACATTTCAACTTTGTGTGAAAAAAAAGAGCACAACAAGAAGAGCAAAACAAACAAAAAAAAGCAAAACAAAACAAAAAATTGTGTCTTGTCAAAAACTTTAAAGAATTTCTCTGATAAAGAAAGATCCTGGGAGTCCTGTGGGATTGATGATAGAAAAGCGTCTTGTAAGAAAGAGCCGAGGTAAATATTGAGCTCGATCGTCGAAAAAGTTAACTGGTGAAGCAGTTGTCGGGAGCGAGGGACAAAGACAAATTTGATCATCTCACGAGGATTCATAGCTCCCCAGATCTCTCACATAGAACTGATTGGCTGTCTTGGGCGTGTGTGCAAGAGCATGGTTACGCGCAAATTTATTCCTCTCCCTCCCTGCGACAACCGCCTATCTGGGTTCTTCCTTCTCCCTCCCATGCGACAACCGCCCATCTGGGTTCTTCCCTCTCCCTCCCATGCGACAACAGCCCATCTGGGTTCTTCCCTCTCCCTCCCATGCGACAACCGCCCATCTGGGCTCTTCCCTCTCCCTCCCATGCGACAACCGCCCATCTGGGCTCTTCCCTCTCCCTCCCATGCGACAACCGCCCATCTGGG